ACACACACACACACACACACACACACACACACACACACACACACACACTCCTTCTCACCTTTAGATCCCCCTTGTCCTCCCAACCCCAGATGACAGAGCAGAGATCAGAGGGTGAATTCTGGTGTCTTTCCATCCCTTGTCCTTGAAAGAATCTGGGGCTGATGGGGCTGCCCCCCAGCCCAGTCTACTCTCCCAGCCCCCAAACTTCTTCTCTTCATGCCATGCCCCTCTTTACTCACGGGTCCGGGGATGAGTGTCCGAGGGGAACCAGAGAAGGACAAATCCCAGCAAGGAAGAGAGGACTCTGACTTCAGGAACCATTCTTCCACCTCCAGACCCTAGGCAGAGCTGAAAAAGGAGGAAAGAGCAAGAGCTGGCCAGGAAAACGAGGAGGTGAGGAGAGAGAGACAGAGAGACAGAGAGAGAGACACAGAGAGAGAGACACAGAGAGAGAGAGACTTAGAGGATCTCCGAGGACCCTTTCAGTTCTCAAGTTCTATGATACAGAAAGGAGAGAGACGGGACAATAAGACTGGGGAGATCTAAGAAGCGTGGGAGAGGAGTAAAGGGAGACAGATAAAAGAAAAGGGGAGAGATATGCAGGGAAGGAGAGACGGTGGAAAGAGGAGAGGGAGAGAGAAAAAAACTGAGACGAGAGAAAGTGAGAAAGAAAGGAGAGGGACTTTAAGTCGGTCTCTCAGGTCTGTTCTGGCTCTCAAGAATGAGACTTAGATGGTGTCTGAGGTCTCTTTTAACTTAGAGCCAGGGCTAAAGAGTGACAGGGGAGACGGGGAGGGGGGGGGGGGGGGGAACTCTCGGGGGAAGAGATGGAAGGATACGGCGAGAGATAGAGAGAAAGAGAGATGAGAGAAGGGAAGAGAGAGGAAGGCAGAGGAGAGAGCGAGCAAAAGAAAGGGAGAGGGGGAACAGAGACAGAAGGGAGAGGGAGAGAGAGAGAGAGAGAGAGAGAGAGATACAGAGAGAGAGAGAGAGAGAGAGAGACAGAGAGAGAGACAGAGAGACAGAGAGACAGAGACAGAGAGACAGAGAGAGAGAGAGAGACAGAGAGACAGAGAAGGAGGAGACTGTCCTAGGCAGCGAGCTCTTCGCTACCCGGGCAGAGCTGCGGCAGCGGCGTCTGCAGCGGGAGCTCGGAGCGCGCACGGAGTCCGCCTGCCAAGGGCGGCCGGCGCGGGGCTCGGCCTCATTTGTACCTTGCCGCGGGGAGCTCCCTCCCGGCTGCCTGGCGCGATCTCAGCTCAGGCGCCTCCTTCAGGGAAAGCGAAGAAACTCTGGGGACTGGTCGCCCGCAAACCCGGCCCCCTGGGCGTGCGTGTGTGTGAGCGAATGTGTGTGTGTGTGTGTGTGTGTGTGTGAGAGAGAGAGAGAGAGAGAGAGAGAGAGTGTGTGTGTGTGTGTGTGTGTGTGTGTGTGTGTGTGTGTAGTGACAGCGGGGCGCCCCAGCCCCACCGAGGCTAACCCTTTCCTACCCACACTCAGAAGAGAACGGAGTAAGGAAGGACCTGGGGGAACTGACCCATAGTCAAGAAAGAGTGGTGACCCCTAGTTAGACAGCGAGCAGAACTTCCCAGTGGGGAAGATTGAGGGGGATGCCCTCGGGGCACGGTTGATGGGTTGGTTAGTTTTGCTGAAATAAAAGATCTTTCTTCCTTTTCTCCCTTTAATCTTTCCCCTTCTCTTTATTCCTTCTTTTCTCACTCATTTGCTTTCACTTTCCTTTCTTTTTTCTTTTCTTTCCCTCTCTCTCTCTCCTTTTTTCTCTTTTTTCCTTCCTTTCGAATTTTTTTCCTTTCTTTCATCCATTTTCTTTCCTTCCTTTTTTCTCTCCCTTTCTCTCTCTTTCCTTCCTTCCTTCTCTTTCTCCCTTTCTCTCTTTACTTTTTTTCTGCCTTACTTTCACTCCTTCCTTTTTCTCATTCTTTTCCTTCTTTTGTTTTTTCTTTCTTTCTTCTCTTTCTTTCCTTCTTTTTTCTTTCTCTCACTCTTTTTCTTTCTTTCTTTCTCTTTCTTTCCATTTTTTCTTTCTTTTCCCTTCTTTTTCTCTTCTTTCATTTCTCTTTTTCCCCTTTTCCTTTTTTCCTCTTTTTTCTAATCTCTCTCTCTCTCTCTCTCTCCATATATATATATATATATATATATATATATATATAAACAGAAAATACACAGAGTAATAAGTTCTCCTACTCATGTCTCCTTTTAAAATCATTGTTAAAAAAGGATCACTAGCTGTGTTGGAGAGAAGGAGGAGAGGTGATCTGTTTGGGACTGCCGAATCCATTTGAGTCAAGAAGAGGGGAGATTTCTGGCTAGAGGGCAATGCTGTTCTAACTGGGAGGAAAGGGGTAGTCTACATAGTGAGTTACCTTTTTTTTTTTTTTTTTTAAAGCTTTGGATGTCTAGGAAGCTAACAAGAAAGAAAATGAGGACACTAGGCAAGCCACTCTCTGGGTCTAAGTTTCTTCCTCTGCAAAAATGGTATCATAGATTGAGAGCTAGAAGGGATCTTAGGAGCAATCTAATTCAACACCCTAATTTGACAGCTGTGAAAACTAAGGCCCAGAGGTGAAGTAACTTGAGGAAAGCCTCACCCATACTAAGTACCAGATCCTTTTAGTCTACATCCAATGCCCTAATATAACTCCCATTTCTATGGTATTTTAAGATTTGCTTTTCTCATAAGAAGCTTATGAGGCAGGTAGTGTGAGTATAGTTTACAGGTGAGGAAACTGAGTCACTTGGCAACTAAATGGATTGTCTAGGATAATAGAAATATAATAAGTCTTGGAGCCAGGGATGGAATCCAAGTGTCACAACTCTAAGACCAAAGCTCTTTTAAAAAGAAAACAAAACAAAACAATACCAATAACAATTCTATTGGTAGAATAAAGGAGTGGAAGGGGCAGATACGTGGCACAGTAAATAGAGCTCTGGCCTTGGAGTCAGGAGGACCTGAGTTCAAATCCAGCCTCAGACACTTAACACTTACTAGCTGTGTGACCCTGGGCAAGTCACTTACCCCCGATCGCCTCACCATAAAGCAAAAAAAAAAAAAAAAAAAGAATAAAGAACTGGACTGTGTAGTCTCAAGGTCTCTCTTTACACTGACAATTTCTCTTCTTTATTCTAAGATTCCTTCTACTTCTGATATCGAAGTTCTGTTTCTACGGTCTTATTGAGCCTGTGAAATTAGAGAACATACAGCAAAAACCTATGCTGAAGGAATCTCGTCAGAAGGGCCTACCTTATTAAAAAAAACCCTGCCCCAATGGCATTGAAGGGGTCGATGCCCACACCAACTACTTTTCTCAACCCCAACCTTCCTAAGTCTCTGAAGTCATGCATTCAGAGGGACTATTTTCTTTATCCCAGTGAAAATGCAAATCATTCCATTCCATTCAATTTAATTCAACAAATATTTATTACAGAGGCACTTGGTGAAAAAGGGCCAGATTTGGAGTCTGGAAAACTGGGTTCAAATTCAGCTTGGGACATTTTCTATCTATAAGTGAAGTGTGAGTTGAGAGTTAGTGTAGTGTACTGGATAGAGTGTTGGGCTTTGACTGAAAACTTGGATGGAAACCTGGTTCTTATCTTGCCTCTAGCACTAGCTCTGTGAGCAGGGGCTCAAATTTAACTTGGAGCCTCAGTTTTCACATCTATAAAACAGGAAAAAATAATTTCTGTAGAGTGCCATTATGGCCCAACCACGGAGTCAGAAAGTCCTGGATTTAAGCCCCACATATGACAAATACTGGCTATTTGTCCTTGGAAAAGCTACTTAACCTCTTAGCATCCCAGGCAACTCTGTAAGATTATAAATTGCAGAGCACAGGAGAATTTATTCTCTGAAAGTTTCAAGGCTCAACTGAGCTAAGGTATGGGAAGCCTTTTGCTAGCCTAACAGCATTCTATAGTGTTAGATTATAAATTTGGGATTCTTGTCCATATCCTTACATATTGTACACACAGAATCTACCCAGTGGGCTTCTTCTTAGCTTTTTCATGTTTCATGGATACTAGTGAAAAATCTATTACTTGTGCCTAACTCACCTCACATGATTAGCCTCCCTCTTTTGGCAGTCTTCCATAGATGATAGATTTAGAGCTGGAAAAGACCTTAGAGGTCATCAGGCCCAACCTCTTTATTTTACATATAAAGAAACTGAGAATCAAAGTGGTTAAGTGATTTGGTTAGGGTCATACAGCTCATATGTACCTGAGCTAAAATTTGAACTCAAGTCTTCCTGATTCCAGGCTCAGCATTCTATCCAGTGTTCCACATTATTTCTTATTAGGGTATGCTATACAGATGAACAAGCTGGTCCTCGGTAAAAGTGAAGTTGGCAAAGTCTGTCTTTGACATACTTCATTCCTTTTTCTGTGCTTCTTCCTCACTCTCAACACCTAAATCCAGGCATCCAAAGTCTTCAATCAGTCAATGGTCAACAAATAGTCAATGCCCTTAAGATGTCCTGTGACCCACCCTTAAAATACATTCATGAGTACACACTGTATAAAATCAGTCCACTATCCCAAGGTGTACCCCGTTTTTTGACTATTTTCTTCTCTGCTTCTCCATCAACTTACTTGTCCTTTGTATCATTCCTTCAGAGCCTAACTGGATGAGTAATGGCTAAAACCTTTATGATATCCATGCAATATCAAAAGACCCAGAAGAGTATCTGTAGTATTTGGGCAAAGATCCTTCTTTGTGGAAGACTTCCAGAAAGATATGGACAAGAACGCATGAGTAGGTCATAGCGATGTTCTTAAATGTATTTTTCATGCTTTTTTTTGTTGGTGAAAATCATCACTGGCAATTCTGTACCCACTAAGAGCCTCTCCATTGACTTCTAGGTCATTTGAAAATATGATTCTTCAAGGATCATGATGTTCCCATAGCCTAAAGACACATGGCATAATTGGAAGAATATTGATATTAGAAAGATGGCCCTTTGTAGTCAGGAACAGCATGGAACCACTGAAAGAGCTATGCAGTTTCTCAAATCCAGTACAACTCATTTCCTTTCTCCTGTTCAGCTCTGAGACAAGTTCATTCTGTACTGGCCCAAGATGTGTGTGTGTGTGTGTGTGTGTGTGTACACCAATAGACTAATTCAGTGGGCTGCCTATATAAATGTATTTAATTTTCAAATACTCAAATAGATCTATGCTTTCATCAAGTTGGATAACCCTCTAAAGATGTTGATTGTGACATGTATATACCAGCCTATTCTGTGTGACTTTTGTTCTTGATTTGGTCTGCCCAAAGTGCTGGAGGCCATTCTCAGTTTTTCTTGAAATTGTGAGGATATCAGTGGAGTACTTGAATTGCCTGTCATGCGTTGCCCCTCCCATGTGACCAGCCCCTTTACTATCTTCCTTTTCTATCTTCTGTTTTTCTGATAACATCCTTTGCTCCTGTTCTAATTTGGCGTTCCTCACTGGTATGTATTGCAATCTGGCTAATACTCTGTGTTCCTCTCTATTGTCCTCGGTATAATACTCATTTTCAGTTCATCAGAGACTATTGTATTCTTTATCTCCTTCCACACATGCACATACCTTCTCATTCCTGTGATTCCTGTGTCCCATACTTCTCCCATAGAGTAGCTCTTCAAGGTGTGGGAGGCCCAGAACTTTTTATATTTCACAGATGCTAGAGTAGCACTTGATCTCTCTATGATCTCTTAGTTTCATGATAGGTCCACCATCTTTTTTGGTTATACATATCCTTAATGATCGCTTTTAATATTGTAATTTGCATTGTATTTGTGTCCATATCTTATCCCATCTATTATTAGATTAAAAG